TGCCCCCCCCCCCCCCTCCAGTAGTAAGCCCTTTATGCCACTTAAGAAGTACAGCTGAGAGGAGTTGGGTACAAAGGGGATGCATCTACACCTGACGCTACTGCACAATAGCTTGTTGCTACTGCACAGTAGCCTTGGTGGGCACTAACCATGACTCGCTGCTACTGCTCAGTAGTAATGAGCTACTGCACAGTAGTGTCTGAAAGAAACGTGCGGGGATGGAACTGTGCAGTAATGCCAATTACTGCACAGTCATTAAGTACTTGCTTATGCAGTCTGCCGCTTGATACAGCTAGGAGAAGTGCTTCTAACATTTTCAGGATTATAGCTATGATAAGGCCACTTCCTAAGGCAACTTCCAGCTTGACTGCTGAACTCTGGCTGAAAAATTATTCATATTTTTGTCAACCCAGAAGCAGAAGCATTCATTAGTCTATATAGAGAATTATTATTGTTAGATACTGAGGAATAGAAGAATTAAGGAAAAGGGGGCTAGAAGTAAGGAGGTGGATAAGAAGGCCAGTGGCTTATACTGTGGAGAGCAATGTAGGGGATTGGAGGAAGAGTTAACTGATTTTAGATTTGGGCAGGATGCCTGGTATTACAACAGTATGGGAACTGGGACTCATTAGTTACTTTTTATGTTGCATCCAAATATTGATTATGCATGTGATAATAATACAATGAGGCATATACATTAATCCACCCTTATTAGGCAACCTCCTGGCAGAAGGCACACAGTGAGCAGATCGGATATACTTTTGTTAGAAGATCATCTCTGTTAAGCAAATAACTTTTAAGTCCTTTGATTAGTCACTTGGGTGTTCTCTGTAATATCATCCCCATAAGTATTTTATATGATGTTGCAAAATTGAATGTAAACAGTAACTCAAGCAGGCTAAAGAAGTTTATGTCAAGAAAGATATATTTTAAGTTTGTTTGGGTTGTGGTTATTCAAGAAATTTCTTACAAACATATCTTCGTTGTTCCTCATTATTGCCAACAAATGGGAAATGTAAGTAAAGGCTCATACCAAATGGACATGGAGGTATCCACTCAGATGCAACACAGACTGTTTCCCCACTTCTACATGCATAAGGCTCTTTCCCTATCCCCCCCACAACCAAAGATATGGAATGTGGGCTCAGTGGAAATTGAGGGCTGTCAACAAACCTCACTAGGAATATTCAGCTTTTGGTAAGTGTGTGTTTAAAAGTGGGTTTCAGTATAATAGAAAAAGAAAATACGTTTTGGGCAGGGAGCTCTGGTAAGATTTATTTTCCCTTTCTGTAATATTAGAGGTTTATCTATCTGAAAGCCTGTGTAACCCCATTCAATCTTAATAGAGTCTCTCTCTCTCTCTTTTTAAAGGACGAACAAATCATTGGTCTGCAATCATTGGGAGTTCACATTCAAAGAACTACATCCTTTGGGAATATGGAGGGTATGCTAGTGAAGGTGTTAAGCAAGTTGCAGAATTGGGATCCCCAGTAAAAATGGAAGAAGAAATTCGACAGCAGGTAAATGTAATGATATAACATGTCAATATATAACCTTAAAAATGTATGGTACCTTGGACTTGCCCCTTGTGACTTTTAGCAGTGTTGTTGTATCAGCTGTTTTTTTAACTAGACAAAACAGGAGGGGGATCTCCTTTTATGCAAGTCAGTTCATACTCAGTTAAACCAAGTGAAGTCAATGGGAGTTTTGCCTATGCAAGGACAAATTGCATTGTTTAAAAGCTATGCAAGCTTTTGTTTTGTTTGTGTCAGTGGAGTAGAAATAAGGAAAAAAATTCAATCAGTCTTCTCTGGGTTGGGCATGAAGACATTTGTAATCTTTTAAAAGAAGCATCGTGAAGATTGCTCTTTTAGTTAGGCAATCAATATGCTATTTTATCTGGTGATTTTCACTTTGTGCTGCAGTACAATATTTATAATGGATTCCGGTGAGCAAAGTGGACATATTATTTGTAATCTCTATATGGCTGTCCAGGTTAGAAATGGTGTTTGAGCAAATAGGGAAGGACCCTATTGTAAATAAATAAGTTATACAAGCTTTTGAATACAAGACATTCTTTATCAGGTTTGAGGAAAGAAACAGGCATAGTGATGATGAATAAAAACAGTGGGCAAAACTGTGAAATTGGAGAGGGGAGAAATTTCCAGGGGTAGCAGACCATTAGCAGAAGAAAAGGAGCTTGCTTAATGGGACATCAAGACCTATCCAAAGAGTGGGGGGCCATTTTCCCCTATAGCGTGAAAGAAGGATTTCAGGAATCAGGCATAATATAGTGTCATAAAATCAATATTGATGTTCAGTCCCTGGTTTTTCGTGTCTAGCCAGCTTATGAATTTTTGTTTCCAAACTCACCTTTTTAAAGGTTGATAGATTTCCCTTGAGCCCCTGAGAACAGTGAAGTCAGAAGGGGAGTAGTTCTGGGAAAAATGTGCTCCTGCTGACATGTCTGTCTCCTTTCTTCATATTTTTTCTGAGAGTTTTCTGTGAGGGCATTTGGTGCTTTGGATCAGTAAATAACATTTAGAGAAAGCCATATGTACCATCCATGGATTCTGATGGTGTATTTTGGGGGATGTTGATAGTAGTAACAGTGAAGATATGTTGACAGGTTAAGTATCTATGGTTAAGGCAAGGTTAGGTGTGCCTACACATGATGCTACATTGCCGTAGCAATGTGCTATGGCAATGTAGCATCCAAAGGCAAAACCCGTGACACCGCAGCTATGTTGCCGTAGTGACATGTTCCTCCATTATAGCATGTCACTAAAGCGATGTAATGCCTAAAATAACCATGCATGGTGCAGTACCAGCTGTTACTAAGACATCTTCTAGTACTTCCAAATGGAAGTACTAAATGACGGTGCAGTAAAAATGGCTCCATAGCGGCATGTGTAGTTGCGCCCACTGTGTCCCATTTGATGTTTGTTGAGCAGTGGGGAGTTTTGTCTGATGATGAGTTGGGCTAGATTAGGGGGTTGTTTGAAAGCCAGGATCAGAGGAACTGGGAATGTTTCTCTCAAAGTCTGATCTTTGTTGAGTATAGGTTGTAAATGCTTGATGATTCTTCTGATTGTTTCCAGTACAGAGTGATAGGTGACCACGAGGGTGCCAGAGATTGCCAGGGGCAGCTGTGTTGACACATGCCCTCAAGCCCCTGCTGTAAGCCATGTGGGGGGGAGGGGAGGGGAGGCAGGCCCCCTAGCACCCACCAAAATGTGAACATGTGTTCTCTTTTCTCCCAGTTCAATATACAAATAGCTTAGAGCAACCCACAAAAGTTTGATCAATTCTACCTCGGGCTTTTTGAATGCCTGCTTAGATTCACTTGCTTCCAACTAAAATTTAAAGTAACTTTTTTTAAAGTAGTTTAAATAATATTTTCACTTGTTTCACAGGTTGCAGCTTATTATTTGTATGAGTTTTAAGAGCACAGCATGATTTTAATGAGAAACCTGAATTATTGTAAGTCTGTATTAACAAGGGAACACTCCCTAGTGTCTTATCAGTCTAGATTGGATCATAAATCTGCATTTATTTTTACAATGATGTATGATTCAAGTTTTACATTTGCCAAACCTACTGAGATTCAAACCTTTTAAAACAGCTAGAAAATTTGCAGCAGGTAAGAGTTTTCTATTATGCAGTGCTCATTACTATAATTAAGTCCCACGATTTTTTTCAAAATCTAAAGTTGTAAACATCTTGTGAATGGAAAAAAAAAGTTACATTTAATAAAATGATTCTAAGCGTGCTTAAATGGATCGATCATTTTTATCGCTTAGATACATTTTGCTACAGTTATTGAATATTTGAGGTGATTTGTGTCATAAATATGCATTTCCCTTTAGAGGACTTACATTTACAGTCATTAGTTAAATTCTGTGCCTCCTTGTTCTTGTATTACGGGAAAGTTCTTGTACAGGTGACCATCAGGCTTTCTTCTACTAATCATTATATATATTACAATCATACTCCTTATACTTTCCTGTTTTACAAATGATATTATCTCAGACCTTAATATTCAGCATGTTAGAAACCTTTTGATGCCTCTGATCATTCTTTTATTTGCTTTTTTCCCCTTTTTTTCAATTATTTTTTTTTCAAAATGAGAGGATCAAAACATATTTAAGATCAAAATGTATCACCAGTTATTGTAATGGTGCAATCAGATTTTCTATGCATTATATTCCTCATCTAGAACAGTCTACAATTTTGCTCATTTTCAGTCTCACTGAACATTGAACATATATTTATTTGAGCTATGTAAATTGATAACTAGATTTTTTTCTAGTCATTAGAACTGAGTGAAAGCTCACACTCTTCACACAGTTTAAATTGCTACAAGCTATACCCATTAAATTTAATCTCTTAATATGTTGATATTTTGGTATTTTGTCTCCTTTAAAACAATTAACTATATAACACAAATCTCCTAAAATTTGAGAATGCAAAATAATAATAATAATAATACAGAATATCATATATTCATGGGATATGGCTGTGAACTACCCTCATTCTTCCTTGTTGCAAGCTGAATAAAATGAAAGAACAAAAAAAAGTAATAGGAAAATAAGAGCTATTTCTTTTAGCTTTTGGTGAACATATTATCACTCTGTTTCCCCTGATTTGAACACTTTAGGAACTGAAGCAGAAAGTAAATCTGGATCTTACATAAATTACCTTTTTACCATGAGTCCTTTCCAAGAAGGCTGTATAATCCTAATGAAATGAGGCTATAGTGGCACCATATATATACCATGTGTACATTTGGGGAGCCATAAACTAGCCATTTACAGAAGAAATGGCTTAAACTTACCTCCTAATAGGCCCCCAACAAACCAGAATGGGAACAACTTTAATTTGGGTTTTTTATTGCTGGATGAGATCAGTCCTTCATACAAAGCCTCACACCATTCTATAAAAACAGGAGCAGAATGAATTGAGGGCAGAGTGAATAAAAATTATGGTTTGATCCAGGTGACAGTTAATGGATCAAATGTGTAGGTATCGGCTAGTGTTCACAGTTTCCTGAAACAAAACGTTGTGGCAGAGTATGACCACAAAGTATGCCAGTTTCTCTAAAACAAGTGGTTGTTAGCACTGTGCTTTGCCTCTGTTAAATCTTACTACCATTCATGTATAAGAGAGAGAAGACTTGGAGCTTGAAGTCTAGTGTGCACAGAAGACAAAAAAAGAGGCAGAAGTAAGGGCGGCAGAGGAATGCGATGGGTCAAGGAGGAAATGGGAACAGATGTAAATAGTGTAAAAGCCTTATAACTATTGATGACAAGTGCATGCACAGGCATTAGTTAGATAGGAGAGTAGACCAAAGTTACTATGATTTGAGGACAGGTAAATTGCTATAGCTACCCAAATCCAGGATGCCCCTGAATTTAAAGTGACCCCCCAATAATTAGATTCTATTCATGGAAAAATTTTATAAATTTGTTATAATTTTCCATGTATAGAATCTAATTATTGAAGAATCATCTTAGATTCATCCCCACCACCAATGCAGTGGGGAAAGCAGTGGTAAGAGGCAGGCAGTGGGGGTGGTGCAGGCAGTGCGGAGGTAGCAGAGGGCAGGCAGCAGCTTTGGGCCCCCATCCTCCAAATCTCCCCCAACCTGCCCCTCTTTCTCTCCTCCCCCTTTCCCCAATCACTTACCCTTGAAAGTGGCATGGATCCAACACTGCTTCTATAGGGCTGTGCTGGGACTGTGCTTAGTGTTCCAGGCTGGAGAAAGGAAAAAACCTTTTGGCACTGGAGATAGGGGCAAGGTGAGTGGGGGCCAAAGGCTGCAGGGGAAGTAGCTGATGGGGTTGGGGGTGGGGGGTTGAGGTTGCATGGAGGAGACACAGGGGACGCAGAGGTGCTGAGGAACAAGAAGCATCTGCAACTGAGCCCCAACCCAGGGCTAAGTCAGAGCAAGAACATCATCAGCAGCTGCCTGGCCTCTTCCCTTTTGATTCCAAGACAATGGGCATTCTCCCCCACTATGTTAAATGGAGGGACAAACCTCATATAGGAATCAAATAAGTACAGTAGCTAAATTGTGGTAATTT